AATTAATGGGATCGGACATTGGATTATGGGACGCCTATCTTTGGATGATATGAAACTTCACATATACAATTCCATTCGCACGGAAGATTGCGATGCCCTTGTCATGGAGAACGTGAAGGCATATGTCGAGATTATCCCGATTTTCCTTGCTTTGGTGAAGTTCTCGAGGAAAGGAGTGGCCTGCAATGGCAGCATCGAGGTGGTTATGGTTGACGATCTCCCCCAGCAGCTCAACAGGTACATTATATTCTGTTATATATACGTTATTTTTTTCCCCCATATTTTCTGATGTCCAGGTAAATGGTATAATCATTTATATATAGAATATATTCTGGTAAAGTAATGTTCAAGGAGCACATATATGAACTTGATAGTTGAAATTGCAATTATTTTTTCTAGCTGTTTTACTTATTTATTATAATTATCATTAATATAATTATTATTATTGTTATTCTTTGTTAATCACTTATACATGTGTTATACTTTTTATATTATCGTCAGTGATTGTGGGGTATTTGTTGCATCGTACGCCGAACATTTCATTTCGGGTCACGACATCGACAACGACAAGTTCGATGTCACCTCTTCCAGGGAGAGATACGCATATTTTCTCTACACTCATGGCCGAATGAAGCAAACTAATCGATACGACAGTGACGACGAATCCCCTGGTAGTGCCCCCGATGGAGTTCGGTTTGGTCTTTTGAATGTGGGAAAAACATCGTAGATAATTTTATAAAGTATTTTTAGGATTGATTTTTCTGATGGTTGTGCTCGAATGTGGGGAAAACAATGAACTTATATTCCCGTGTATCTAACTTATATTCTGTTTTAATTCCGGTATGTTCTGGTATATTTTTTATGGACAAATTATATTTTTATCGGGAAAACATTGAATTATATTCTGGTGATCCTAAATTATATTTTGTTATAATTCCGGTATATTATTTTGAACTTTTATGTTTTGTTTTTTTCCCTGGTCCACATTGAACGATGTTTTTATGAACTTTGTTATGAACATACATCACATGAAATTACATTCAAGTATATCCATGTTATATTCTAGTATATCCACGATGTATGTTTGATATATACTATGGTATATTAGTTGAATATTAGTTGCATATCCATGTTATATCCATGTTATATTCTGGTATATCCATGTTATATTCTGTTATGCAAAACCTGAATATATCAATGGTATATTCATGTATATCCATGTTATATAAATGTTATATTCAGGTATATCCATGTTATATTCTGGTATATGCACGTTGTATGTTTGATATATACTATGCACATTGGTATACTAGTTGTATATTTTCGCGATACATTTTATAATTCGTATATGTTATTAATGTGCATGGTATAACCAATGTGCATGCTGCTGTCAGAAACATGAAATAAAAACAAGAAAAAATAAGAAGTTGCGGTATTAAGCAACAAACAACTCAAAAACCATCAAATACTGTACACGTCAATGGGAATGATTTTCATCGTATTGGATTACGACAAGTTTTCACATTGTGCCCTTTCTCGTGACATTTGCTGCATCTATTCTTTGATCTATGCTCCCAACCCGACTTGAATCGTTGTTTGCGTGGTCTACCTGGCCTCACTCTTGCATCTGGCGGATTCACCAATCTTTCGACAGACGGTGCATTAAATATGAAGGCTTGATTACCTTCTATTGGTATCACAGCATCTTCATAAGTTGCCAACATAGAGGAGTTTAAGTAATACTCAGAACAGAATGGGACCGGATCCAGGTGGAGTGACTTGATCACACGTATAGCGTGCGGGCATGGCAGCTCGTCAACTTGAAAGTGGTGGCATGTGCAAGTCTTATCTTCAATGTCTACTATAAATGCCTTACCATCAGCCATCACTTTATACACTTTGTCACTGGCTTTCTGTACCTGTTAAACAATTTAGTATATATACAGTATATTACAGTATTTTTTAGGTATATTATAATTATTTACTAGTAGCTATATAGTGTATAATAGGAATAAAATTAAAAAATATAAATAATAACACTCACTGAGTATCTTGCTGCCATTTGGTAATTCATTTCCAACCACCTATGTGGCTTCTTTGCAAGAGGAGTAAAAGTGGCCTTTGCCTCATCTTTGTTTGCCACATTCCACCGTTGTTGCATATCTCTAAGCGCCTCCAGTAGTGGAGTTATTGGTAGATCACGGACGGATCGTATGGCAGCATTTACTGACTCAGCAGCGTTAGATGTCATGGTAAAATATCTATTATTTGGACAATGAACTCTTGCCCACTTGTGAAATCCAATTTCTTCTAGATATGGTACCACATTTGGATTCAGCTTATTTATCTGTGCAATATGCTTATTGAATTTCTCTTTCGTATAGGCCCTTGCTGCTGCATAAAACTCCTCCTTTACTGCCTGAGATTCCGTCTTATAACGCATCTTCAATTTGTTTGAGATGTGATAGGTGCACAGACAATGCGCCGCATTAGGGAATACCTAAATAAATTAGATATAACCAAGCAAATTACTGATATATTATATATCATGAAAAATAATGCCAAACATTTACCAAAAATATAATAATAGCTGGGAACATTTTATTTTTATAAAAAAAAAAACAAAATAAAAAAAAACAAATGGAGAAGTAATTATATTTTTGCAGAATAACTACTTAATTGTTACTAGAAATATAATACTACCTATTCTAAACGTGTATATATTATATAACTGTTACTAGAAATATACCCTTTCAATACTTAATTTTTACTAGAAATATAACTGTTTCTAAAAAAATATAATACTTAACTGTGCATTGCGAATATATTATAAATCATGGAAAATAATGCCCAATTGTTACCAAAAATATACTAAACGCTGGGAACATTTTATATTTCAAGAAAAAACGAATCAATTGGAGAATAAAGTATATTCTGCAGAATAAATACTAAATTGTTACTAGAAATATAATAGAACCTTTTCTACTGCGTGCCGTATGCTTTCGTGACCATCCGAAACAATGCAAAGACCGTCCCTATCACCAACTACTTCATGCAATTTTGTGAAAAACCAGAGGTAGGACTTGTTATTTTCGGAGTCAACAACACTAAATGCAAGCGGTAATATATGAGAATTTGCATCTTGACAAGAGGCTGTCAATAAAATTCCTCCATATACCGACGTAAAAAATGTCCCATCGACAATAACAATTGGCCGACAATGTACCCACCCTTTGACAGATGCACCGAGTGACATGAAAACATACATGAAATTCTTATCCCATGTGGTGCGCATCACATTGCTACCCGGGTTTGATGCACGTACCTTACTAAGATATTGATGAGCATAGTTGTATGACTCATCAACCTTGCCACGAACTTCATCAACAGCTTTCCGTTTCGACCTCCATGCTTTGTGATATGTCAAGTTTATCCCAAACCGATTTTGCATGTCGTCAATGATATCACCCGGATTATATGCAGTTTTATTGTTTGTGAATTTTGTCTTGATGAAACTACTAACTAGTGTTGATGTCGCCTGTCTCTGATTACTAGTACGGACATCCAAACCACATATATGTTCAGTCCCCACGTCTCTTATCTTAAAAGTGTTTGACCGACCCATACGGGAAGCTTTAACAAACCATGTACACTCGCTCGAGACACACCTGCCAAAATATTGAAAGTGTTAAATATATCAAAATATAAGTCAAATATTACAGAATATAAATTAAATATACCAGGCTAATAATCATTCGATACACACCTGACATAATATTGTTTTGAGCATGACTTGTCAACCTTGAATTGATACTGATGCTTTAGTGCATGCATGGTCAACATTGTTTGTAACGTTTCCTTGTCCTTTAGTAAGAGACCAGCAACAATACCAGAGTCAAAATTTTCCTCAGCAGTCAAACGCATTTCAGAACCTGGGTATATGTCAAGTATATTTTCGGTAGATGCTGCCACTTCTACCATCTCTGCAGCCACGTTCCTCGCGAACGACATGAAATTTATGGTGCGATCTGATCTATCATGTTGCCTATCAAGCTCCGGAAAACACAGTGGCGCAATATTTGATTCGCCATTCACAGAACCTATATTCACTTCTTCATCAAACGAATTTTCAACAGTACTCCGAGATTTCACCACAACGCACACCGGATATTTTGCATAGTCATCTTCTTTGGACACCAAATATACATAGAAGCTAAGGCTCCTATCGCTGTTTATCGAAATTAGTGGACTACCTTCTTTCAGCTTATATNAAAAACATAGAACGAAATCAGTAGCAAAATGATCAAAACACGCCAGGTTGATTTTTGCTCGGCACAGGTTTATACCACAAAAAAAGAAAACCAAAATATACCTCCCAATCTTTGGCCTGTATGTATTTGTTCTTTATAGTTGTTCGGCTGTTGAGTGCTCGCCGCAGGATTTGATCGACACCACTCTTTTTTTTAACCTCTTAATGCATATCTTTGGTCGGAGACAAATAATGAAAAAAGGCAAGCGTTTTTATTTTTTTTTTCAAAGGATGAAGACCGTCGGTCGAGTATTTCCGGAAAATTTCTGCTCGCCGGCGTGTTCGCTTTCTTTTTGTACCGTCCGTATCTCAATTCAAATTCAAATGTGATATTATTCCATCTTGATACCTAAAATTATGCCCTACAAACAAGGAAAGCTGGTTCAACTCGTGTAACAGTTATTTAGGTAGGATTATAATTATATTTTATATTTTAGGCATATACACATTTAAATTAGCTTGAATGGTAGAGCATCAATTATTTTATAAACGGATAGCATAGGTGAAAATTTCCCATCTTATTTCACTCGGCCCATTCCAGCCCATCTCCCTCATTCTCAAGCAGCATCTCACCCCTTCACTCTCAGCAGCCGGCTTGTCCATCAGTAGCCCCACCTCAACGGCCTCCAAGATTTCCGGCCACTTTCAGCACGCCTCCTCGTTTTAAATCAGGCCAGGCGGAATTAAGCCGATGGTAGGTTTTACAGAACTGCTCGTCCAAATTTTTCCTCGTCTCTCTCTCTCGTCCTTTTTGCGTCAGTTTTTCAGTGACGACCTTCGCGGCTGAAACCCAAGATTGCCGGCGAGCAGAGGAGCAGCCGTGGGCTGAACATTTCACGGCAAGGCGAGTAGGCCTTGTCGCGGCTGAAGCAGGCCGAACACGCAGGCCCCTATCAGCGGCTGAGAGTATCGCCGTCGGGCAGAGGAACAGCCGGGAGCCAACAATTGCCGGCGATTCGGAGTCGAGCGCCACCCGTGGCGAGTCGAGCCACCAGATTTCCGGCGAGCATGATCGGGCCGAACCGCTGGGCTTTCAGCGAGACCCGAGCCGTAGCAAACGAGCCGAAAACCAGCGGCCGGAGTAGAGAAGCTGAGGGCTAACCATTTGAGTTGATTTCTAATCGAGGAGCCGGAATGAAGCTGAGAGTAGTGTGCCGGAAAATCTATGATTATGTTCGCTATGATCTGAAGGAGATTTGCATTCCCTTCTTCTTTGCCTGATCCTCCACACATCAAAAAGCGTCGAGATCTTACATGGAAAGAACGGTACCTTGTAACTTGTCTTTTGGTGGGGTTGGTGTTGAATCATATTCTAGAACAAATTCCTAATATCTGGTGATAATAGGCGTGGTTTTGTTGATTTGCTTTGGAATGATATATTAATGCATATTTCATAAAAATATTTTAGTGTAGGTGATGTTGAATTTCATACTATAAAGGCTCTCCTTGTGTGTAAATTTATGGTTTTTAAATTATCAGTGAGAAAAAATACATACTTGCATATTTACCCACTCTTACTTGGTTGCCTAGAATCATAAAATTTCAATTTGCCCCACTCTTGGTTGCCTAGAATAATAAAATGTTAATTTGTGATGAACTCCACAATGCCCGTGTATTTAGATGCTACTATATGATTTGGAATTTGTTAATAGGTGTTGAAGGAAGCATCTAGACTCTATGCTGCAAGCTGGGTGAGGGATATTGGTCCAGAGCTTAGGCCGAACGATTACAAGAGGAAAGAAGAGAGTGAAGATAAACTTAATGGGGGAAAAGGGTCGCCTGCATTTTTAGCAAGATGTTTGCCATACCATGTCCTGGATATTCATGTATATTTCATTCAGTTATCTGTTTTCAATACGATTAACTTATGAGTTCAGTTTTGCATCTTCATCCTCTTGCTTAGATATTGAATTGAGGCGTTGTTCTTTTGTTTCACACAACTTATTTGGTGAAGAGAAATTTTAAAAAAATATGATTTCCTTCTTTTTCTGTCGCGAATCTATTTTCGGCAGCGTCACAGTTTTTGTGTGCTGTGTAGAACTAGTGCTTAGCTGATTGACTGGACCGTATTGTTTTATTCCTGTCATCAAACTCGATAGGCATTAAAATAAAATAAATTTTAAGTAAAAAATGTACAAGTTCTGCTTTTTTCGCATGATGGATTGTTGTGATTCTTAATGTGATTTTCTTTCAATGTAATGTAAAGCTGTGGCTGCCAAGGGAGGTATGGAGAAGTTAAGGCCCATAATAGCTT